CCGGCCGGCCGCCCTCCGCGGGAGCTTCTTTCCCTGCGCCCCAGCCCCGACCCTGCCGGCTTCCCTCGGCCGCTGGCGGCGCGTGCACCCCGCCTCCTGTGGAGGAGTCGTGCGGCGGGGCGCAGCGCCCTGCCCACCCCTGGACGAGGCCTCCCTGCTCGCCTGCGCTGGAGGCCCAGGTGGCTGCTGGAGGCGCTTTTCCAGCCTGCGGCTCTCCGTCCTCGGTGGCCCGAGGGTGGATGGAACCTTGAACCTTTCTCCGCCCGGCCCCTTTCGGATGCCGAGACCATTTGCTTCCCTGTGTGTGTGTGATCAATCACGTTTTTTCCCCTGCCTACGCGCTTTAGGAACTTCTCCGTTGCCTTCTCTGATTTATTCCACAGATTCAGGTCAGGACTCAGAAGGGTTTCTTCGAAGGTTATGCAGTTCAGCACCTCCTTTTAGCGGTGAGGCCTAGAGAGACGGGTGATTTGTCCAGAGTCGAGCAGCTCGTTAAATCTGTCAGCTACCTAGGTGCTCTGGGGTGGTTTGGTTTTGCTTTGTTTTATTTTATTTTAATTTATTTTGTTTTACCTGATCCATTTCCATTTACCGGATCAGAGCCTCGAGATCTGCAGGTTTGATTGAGTCCGTTGTGGAGTGACTCATTATTCTGCTTTCCGTAGCTCCTGGGCCAGTGTTGCTTTTTATGATTTATGCAAACCTAAAGACAATTCAACATTTTAAACTTTGGCCTCTTGATAATAATCTGCCATGGAGAAGGAAAGAGCACCAGGACCCAAGACATGATTTTCTGCAGTTTTAAGTTGAGGGGAGAGGCTGGGTGAGAGGTAAAGGTGTGGAGAATAACGAAAAAGAAGCAGATTGACTGCCTGCCTTGGGGATGCCTGTGTCTAGTTTCTTCTGAGAGCATTGTTCTGACATGAAGGTTGCCTCCTTGTGGAGCAACTGGGAAGGAAATCATTGTGCATTAATTTGTTGGCCGGTGCATTGGATAATAAACTATGGATGTGCTGGAACCTAGGGACCCACCCACCAGCCACTGTGGGTGAGACTCGACTTCATCTTCAGAATAACCTGTCAGCTCCCTCTGAAACCACGGGGAGAGTCTCAGGTCCCAGTGGAAGCATTCTAAATCTTTTCATTCTTAGTTCAACTTTCTCCCACCTCAGGAGCCTTTCATGGCTCAAACTAACACAGCATCCAGTTCATCTTAAGAATTTATAATTGTTTGTTGGAAGTAGCTTCTGCACTCTACTGGTGTATCTGGAAATTCTGGTGTTTTGTCATTATCCAAGTTAAAGAGAGACTATAGAAAATGCAGGGAAATTGTGTAGTTGCTTTTAGTCTTCCAGAGAACTCGTTTTTTCTAAAGCTTCCCCATAATATAGTTCTTGTGTTAAATTAACTTTTGTTCTTCCCTCTGTTTAACTCCATTGTGAAAGGTTTGCTGACTGAGCCTGCCTTTTTTTTTTTTTTTTTTTGGTGGAACCAGGGATTGAACTCAGGCCCTAGTGCTTGTCAGGCAAGCGCTTATTATACTGAGCCATCTCCCCGGCCCCTGAGCCTGCTTTTTGTGATCTCAGAAATTAATGACTTGTTTCTTTGGGAGATTATTATTGAGTCAGTAAGGTGAGATGGAAGTCAGATACCTTTCTGTTGTTGTTTGGTTGCTGGGGGCCTGCCCCTTAGCTCAGTTCTTCAAGTGGCTGCTTCAACAAAGCAGTCAGGCTCAGGTTGCTGGGGTTCGATCCCCACAACTCAAGCCAGCCAAACCTGCCCTGAATGCATTCAGAGCAAAAAAAAAAAAAAAGAAAGAAAAATGCTTGTTGTTTGGTTATTTGTGGTGATAAGAATTGAACCCAGGACTCCCTTGTGTTACGCCAGTTAGCTAGTACTGTACTGGCTGAGCTGTATCCCAAGGTCCCTTCCCACCAAGTTCTATTTTTTTTCATCCTTTTTCCTCCATCCCTCCTATTTTTTGTTCCCCTTCCCATTTGAAGAATATCTCCCTACTTCATATTATCTTTTATTTTGCTTACTTTTTATATTTTACATTTCTCATATATGAGATATTTAAATTTCTTTTGTGATACCAGGGATTGAACTCAAGATGTTACTCTACTGAGGTATCTCCCCGGCCCTGAGATATTTAAACTAATGTGTCTACCTTATTTCACTTAACATTATGGGGTGTTTTTTTTTTGGTGGAACTGGGGATTGAACTCAGGCCCTTGAGCTTGCCAGGCAAATGCTTATTCTACTGAGCCATCTCCCTGGCCCAACATTATGGTCTTGAGGTACATCTATTTACATACGAACACCCCAAGTTTATCCTTTATGGCAGAGTAGTACTCAGCAGAGTAGTACTCAGTTGTGTATAAGCGCTACATTTTTTTTGGGGGGGGGGTACCAGGGATTGAACACAGTACCTTGTGCTTGCCAGGCAAGTGCTTATTCTGCTGAGCTATCTCCCCAGCCCCAGCACTACATTTTCTTTATCCATTCATCTAATGATGAACACACAGTTTCCAAAATGTAGCTAATATGTGTGTATGGGTGGTTCAGTGGTAGAATTCTCACCTGCCAAAATATAGCTAATATAAAGTGTGCTCCTATAAAGGGGTATGCATGTATTGCTGTAGTGGGATGATTCTTTCAGAAGGACACCCAGAAGAGAAATAGCAGGTCAAATGGAATTTGTAATTTTAGATATTTATTTATTTATTTATTTATTTATTGTGGAACCAGGGATTGAACCCAGGCCCTTGGGCTCGTCAGGGAAGCGCTTATTCCACTGAGCCATCTCCCGGGCCCTGTAGTTTTAGTTTTTTGAGAATCTCCATATGCATCTCCATAGTGGTTGTACTAGTTTACATTCCCACCAATGATGTAGAAGGATTCCTTCCTCTGCCTCTGTGTAGCATTGAGAGCACTTGTTATTTATTTATTAAGTATTTAGTACAGGGTCTCACTATGCAGCTGGGATTTGTAGTAATCCTGTTGGAAGCTTCCCCAGCACTGGGGTTGTGGGTGTGTGTCACCATGCCCGGACTCTGGTGGCTGGCTCAGGGCACCTGGGGGGTGGGGCCAGTGCAGCATATGTGCCAGGGTTTGAACCCAGTCCCTACACTTGCCTAAGGCTTAGTCCACTGAGCTGTCTTGCGGGCCCAGCACTTGTTATTATTTGATTTTTTTGATGATAGCCTTTTCTGTTGGAGTAAGAGGGAATCTTGGGGCTGGGGAGATGACTCAGTGGAATAAGTGCTTCCCTGGCAAGCACAAGGGCCTGAGTTCAATCCCTGGTTCTGAAAAAAAAAAAAAAAAAAAAAAAAAGAGGGAATCTTGGTGTTTTGATTTACGTTTCTCTAGTGGCCAGAGATGGTGAACATTTTTCATTGACCATCTGTACTTCTCAGAAGTTGTTTCATTTCATTTGACCCTTTTTGATTGATTGGGTCTTTTATTGTTTGTTTTTTTTTGTTTTTTGTTTTTGTCACACTTACCACGTTGGATATACAGAGCCAAGGCCCTTTCTGTCAGCACACAAGCCAACTCATTCCAGCATTGTATGACCATTGTTTTTTGTAAACTGGAACCTCATTATTCAGGTTTAATTGCAGTATTGGCACTTCACAATAAATAGGGGTTTGGGGGTTACAGTTTGGGCTCTTACTCTCTGCAAGTTTTGCTAGGCAGCTCAGGCTGGGCTAGAACTCACTTTATGACCCAGGCTGGTCTTGAGCTCATGGCAGTCCTCCTGCCTCAGCCACCCAAGTGCTCGGGTCATACATGTATGCCACCACCCCCAACTGGGGTTCTAATTTTTTTTAGTTCTTTGTATAGTTTGGCCCTTGGGGCATAACACTGATTTTCTTATCAAGGCATATAAGCATGGGTCTGTCAGATTTTAGAATATATCTGTTGATGAATTATTTTATGAGTTTTATTATATTCAACTGTAAGTACTTAATAGGAAAAATATCACAAATTATGAATTGATGTTTATTGAGTGTTATGAAACAGCAACATTTTCATCATCGGCTATTTTTTGGTTTACTGTCAACATGGGCTGGGAGGATAGCTTGGTGGTCTAAGTACCTGCCTGGCAAGGCCAAGGACCCAGGTTTGATCCCTGGTATCACATGCTGTGCCAGCCACCAAAACCGGGTGTGGTGGCACATGCCTGTAATCCCAGCACTGGGGTAGCTGAGAGGGGAGGATCACTACAAGTCTGGACTGCATGGCGAGACCCTGTGTCAAACAATAAATAATTTAAAGTACGAAACGAGAAAAGAACACAGGTAAAATTTTTATATGAACTGCAATGAAAATACCAATACCACTTTATAGAAAAAATAATTTTACTTTAGTTATCACTCCTAAAGCAGTTTGCACACATGACAGCAGTATTCAATACATACATGTTACTTATACCGATAGCAGATATATTTTGCTTTCCTGGCCTTTTTGTAGGGACATACTTTTTTTTTTTTTTTTTTTTATTAGAGAGAGAGAGAGTGTGAGTGTGTGTGGTGTGTGTGTGTGGCCAGCTCAGCCCACCAGGGGGCGGGGCTGGCTGGCATGTGGTGCTGGGGGATTGAACCGTGGTCCCTGATGCTTTGCTCAGCTTGTTCTAAGTAGGTGCTTTAGACCACTGAGCCATCTCTCCAGCCCCTGTAGGGACATACTTGACATCTCAGTGGTCT